CTGTACAAAAGCACAACTTTATAATGAAACTAGCTGGCTACCATTTCACTCTGTAGCAAGTTAGCTAACGTGCTAGCTCATTAATTGTCTAATAGAACAACGGCTAATCGTCAGGAACAAGAAAACAATGAATGTATCATAAAAGAATCCTATAAAGTCTGATTGTTAATAATTACAATAAACATAATACAGACAGAGAATTGTTTAAAAAGTTCATTTGGATGTGACAGTGTTGTCTGTACCTCTGAGTAGAGCGGCGGCGGCAGATATCTGAACTCTGTGATGTAGGTCAGCAGAGATCCCTGGTCCTCTGCCTCCCCGTCCGACCGATCGCAGCCCCGCAGACAGTCCCGTCTCTGAGACTCGGATATCGCCAGGTCGCTGTAATTCGGCGGCGCTGCAATAAACAGACGAGCGTAAGACGTCGTGTTCGTTAATAAGCGATGAAAGGTGCGTTCAGTGTTGGCTGTGCGTACCCTCCGGCCTCTCCTGCAGGCCCAGCCAGCTCAGCGTGCTGCAGTTGCTGCTGATGCTGGAGGTCCGGGTGGCGCAGGTGTGCAGCGGTATGGTCCCGATCACCAACGGCAACGACAGAGACAGATTCAACCCGCCGGGAACGTCCACGTACACCTGCAGGAAGAGGAGGGACAACACGGGTCTTAGTGGGAGTCGGGACAATGCAGCTCCCTGAAACATCTCTAACACCTACTTATTTTAATATATATTAATAATTTTTTTTTTTTTAGGAGATTTTCTCTTCACCCAGCAGATTATTAATTCATGTTTAGTTATTAGTGTTCTTGTGTTACTAAAAGGTTATTAGCATAGTTGTTGTGTTACTTTATTATTATTATTATTTATCATTAGTCAGAAGGATAATTGATTTTATGATTGACTGACAGACATTCTGTGATTCTGTGATAGTTCTGGTTCTCAGTGGTTCTGGTTCTCAGTGGTTCTGGTTCTCAGTGGTTCTGGTTCTCAGTGGTTCTGGGTCAGACTCACCACGAGGGCGTACTCCACTCTGATGATGGGGCAGTCCAGGATGGAGGGGGACACCGGGGGGATCTTGAGCAGTTTGCCCTCCCAGCTCTGGCTCTTCCCCTGAGGCAGCGGGTCCCCCCTCAGGTTGGACACCAGCTGCTGGATCTGCTTGCCTTTGCCCTTTGCGAAGAAGGTCTGGGTCTGGTACAGAGCCGCCTTCGGCACCACGACGCGGGACGAACAGTTCTCCACCTCGGCAAAGATCTGGATCGACTCACCTTAGAGAGAAGGGAAGAAGAGATCAGTCTGTCAGACTGAGAGAGAGAGCTGGAATAAGTGACACAGTAAAGAAGAAAAGGAGGAGTGAGGAGGAGAAGGAGGGGGAAGAGGAGGTCTGGCTCACCTGGAGTGTAGCCCTTTCGCTCTATCTTGGCACTGAGGGAGATCGGACCCGAAGCACAGAACCAGCAGCACAGAGTTTTCTCCTTGGTACCGGCCTGAGGAGCCTGAAGGAGACACAGTAAAGACACTTGTTCAATGAAAGAGGAGGACCACGCCCCCAATTATGCATAACTTTAACTTCTATTTTCTATTTATTTTTATTTTGCTGTATTATTTTTTGTTTTCAGTTAGTTTCCAGAGAGTTTCTAGTTTTTATTGCTTAAAAATGTTTCGTTTTAGTTCATTTTTAATTAGTTTTAGTGTTTTTTTTTTAAATAACAGTCTCAATAAACATCGCCATCGTCTCTACAGCTAATTAATAATAACTGTAGAGATGATAACTGTATGAGGGGTGAATTTATATATAACTCACTGTTTATTATTATATTAAAGCTTACAGTTAAGCATAATTAAGAAACTCAGTTTAATAGTGATGTCTCTCTATGATGTACAAAAACAAACAACACCATCAGTGAGAAGTATTTCTATATTCTTAATGCCCGGGTCGGATTCCCCTTAAAATCAATAAACAAGGCAGTGGAAACTTTAACTTTAACTTAAACAAGTATCTGATGTTTTTATTGAATGCAAGACTCCTTTGAGTCATATTTGTTGCTGTTTCCCTCTTGTTTCCAGTCTTTATGCTAAGCTAAACTAGGTGGTATCAACCGTCTCATCCTCCAGAAAGCTGATCAGAGAGTTTCCCAGCGCCTACCAGCAGCAGCGGCGTGTTGATGTCGATGTGCTCGAACACAATGAACTCTTTCTTCACTTTGACGGGGAGCAGCCAGGGACGGTGCAGTTCGGCTTTCACCCAGTACCTCACGCTGCCGTGCTTCCCTTCAAAGGAAGTGGCGAGGGCCCTGATGGACGGGAGGAAGGGCGGCGGGAAAGAAAAAGAGCATTAGGAAGTGTGGGTGGTCTGTGCTTGTGTAATGAGTCTTCACTGTAGGGCAGCGGTACCAGTACGGTGATGTTACAGTACAACATCAAAGAACTACAGTATATCAGTGAAATGTACTTTAAGTGTTAAATGTTCCTGAGACTGATTATTATATATGACATTAATACACTGTAAAAACAATCTTATTACATATATAATAACATAATAACTGACTTTACAGTATTAATTACAGTAATTTTCTATTATTAAAATACAGTTTTTAGTTTTAATTTTACATCAAATCCTATTTTTGGGCTTTTTAATGTTTAACTAAAGATATTTACACTGTAAAACCAATGAAATGATCTATAAATACAGGTGAACACTGCTATAATACAAATAATCAGGCTTAAATTTACAGAGGAGTGCGGTTATTATTTGATTTTTCTTATTTTAATCTGAATTTTAAATGTCATAGAACTGTAATAAAAGTCATTATCTGTGAAGTTACAGTAATTATTGCTGTTTTCACTGATTAAAAACTGTATTTTGACAGTTTACCAATGCTTATACACTGATAAACAACATTTATTCAACATGTTTGTTAACGCCATTTGTAAACTTCCATAATTATATAAAATATTTGTCAGTTACAAAACATTGTAAAATATTGGAGGAAAAGTCAAATACTCGAGGAAAGTACCATAACTTTACTCTATACGAGTAAACATACTCACATCTGAGGCAGGTTGAAACTGAAAGCAAACTCGTGTAAGCCGGTGTGCAGAACAGTCAGACCTTCCTCCGGACACTCCTCGTCTGAAAGAGAAACCCACGCTGTTAAATATCACACAACTCACTCGTCACTTCACCTCAGAGGATTTATTTACAACTGTAACAGGAAACATTCATTTTATCTGCAGACGTTTGAGCACCATCGATTAGTCGATTTTCATAATCGATTCAGTTGTTTTTGTCTGCTGGTCGGACAAAAACAACCAAATAAAGACGTCATCTTGCTCTTTAAAAATATTTTTTTTTAGCTTCCTCTGGCTCCTCCTGGTGGCTCCTAACAGTGTCTGCAGGAGTTCGCCGGGCCTGAACGAAAACAACCAATCAGAGAAAGATAGTTGATTGTTGAGTCTCATTCTCAGACGCTTTGGGTTGGTGGCTTAAAGCTCGAAAACCCAAAGCAGCTGAGAATGAGACTCAACAATCAACTATCTTTCTCTGACTGGAGCACAGAGGAACCCGATTCTTTCACACATTATCGGTCTTGTGTACTAATACCAGGATTCAGTGAAAGTTTCAGCTAATACGACATAAAGTTATATTTTATTAAAGTCTCCTACTGCAGCTTCACCAGAGCTCTTCTACACACAGAGAATAATCACATTAAAAGTCAAAGAACCGACACACACACTCGTTTGATTTGAGGAGAACTGTTGGCGAGCTATTAAAAGATGTAGTAGCGAGGAGCCGCTGAAGGCAACACGCCCTGTGGGAGAAAGAACATGACCTCTATTCACTTCCTCATTTCTTCTGTTATTGTTTGTGTTTTAAACGTCTCCAATCAACCCGTCTGAACTTCAGCTTCCTGCCACCTCAGCAGCCTGCATCTCTGCTGTCTGTCTGTCTGTCTGTCTGTCTGTCTGTGTTGGTGTGAGAGCTGTCATAAACAGCTTGCATTTGTGTGTTCGTGTGTGTGTGTTTGTGTGT